TGGTTGCAGGTGGCGAGGATTTTAAACTCTATAAATATGACTATAATACAGGAGAAGAATTAGGTATGTTTGTCTTCTGTAATCAAAAATGAGTTCTGAAATGGGTGTTAGATTAATGAGATAATGACAAATAAATGAAAATGTTGTACTTAAATAAGGTCATAACATAGTGTGCTCTGCAAGAGGATGAAAAGGTGTATTGCCAGTTAAGCAATTTTTGCTATCAGTATACCTAACTTTATTCTTCTAGAACTTGTGACAGCCTCTATTAAACAGCTCTTGGCACCTATTTTAAAAAAAAAAGTAATTCCATATTGCTGCAATGGCAAGCTGTATGTTAACTTGTGTCTCGTGCTATAGCATTCATGAGGTACGCCTAATGTCTTGCAACTACTTGTTTTTATGAAACTGTGGTATGTTTGTGTTCTTCTTAGTGTTGGCCAAATATATTTAAAAAAAGTGTATTCCTAATTTCTCCATTGATCTTGTCCTTGTTTAAAATTAGATGTATGTGGAGAGATTGAAGGAGCAGACCGTGTGCGCTCCATGCTACTGGCTTGCTTTGTAGTTTTGCCTAGAATAATTAAGCACCAGTTTTTGTGCAGTTAATAAAACATTATGTTCCCAAAGTTAGAGATGGCTGAGCTACCAATTGACAGAAGCTTTGTTTCACATCAGAAGTTAAATACTGAAAAAGTGCCTCCCATTGGTATTTTTCTCCTTCTTCTGATCAGTGCTAAGTAATTTCAGTTGTTGATTGAAATTTTAAATTAATGGTCTTGGTATGTTCTCTTACAGAGTCTTACAAAGGACACTTTGGTCCAATTCATTGTGTGAGATTTAGCCCTGATGGAGAGTTATATGCAAGTGGCTCTGAGGATGGCACACTAAGGCTGTGGCAGACAACAGTAGGGAAAACCTATGGTCTGTGGAAGTGTGTAGTTCCTGGTAAGTGTGTGCCTGTTCTTGGTGGAACTTGGCTGCTCTGTGTGTACTTCTTAAGTAATATCTGTCACAAGTGGTGAACATCATCTGGATTTCATACAGTAACTGTTGTCTTCTGAGTGTCTACATCCACTCCAGTCTGTTAGATTTAAGGATTTACTTTTGTAGCTATCATTTAAGCAATTAAGTTCAAACCCATAGGCTTATTGAATATTGAAACTGTGGATAGTTAAGCAAATTGTCTGATGTAGTTTTATGTTATAGAGAAAGAAATAAGAAATATGACTTTTAAAAATTTTAAGGATATGAGAATCTCTAGAAAGAAATGTAAATGATAGGTGTATATTACATTGCACTTCAGTTCTGTGAATTTGGGAGCGGGGTTAGGAAGCAAGGCCTAGAAGACTGCAAGTGAGTATCCATTAATGGAATTGCTTCCCAAACTCTTTCTACTCTAAATTAAGTGGAGAATTTTTCTTCTGATTAAGGTGTAGGGAGGGAACTGCAGGTATTGACTGTTTTTTCTCCCTCCTCTCTACAGAAGAGGAGAATGCAGAAGCAGCAAAAGCAAGGACCACTCTTCCAGGAACTGCAGAGGAGGAAATAGGTAATGCACTGAACTGCCAGCTTCAACTCAGCTAAGTGTTAAAAGATCAGCCAAGATGGTAGCATTCTTTAGTACAGAAAATGTAGTTTTCCTCAAGTGCCTTCTGGCATTTTCACTCTCCTCAAAGAAAAGATCTTTGAATGTGTTTTCCTGAAAATGACCGTGTGGTAAGTGTCAGACTGGTGACTAGAGCTGTGGAGACTGAACAGATGGGTTGGAGTAATTGAATCAGGTTAAGTGGGAAAACAAACTGAACTTTTCTTTAAGCAGTCCCTACAGCATTTCTTTGGTTTATATATCTAAGGTGAAGTTAAATAATACCCTTTATATTTAATTGCAGAAGAACTTCCCTCTGAAAACTCAGATGCAGTGTACAGCTCAACTCCTGAAGTTAAGGCCTGATGATTGCAACTGTTACACAGCACGTGGACGTACAAGACTAAATCAAGTGGACAGTGATAACAGCAGCCTTCCAGAGTGCGCTCTCTACACGGGACAAAGATGGGCAGTGATTGATGAGAATGCTGTGGAACTGGCTAGGTGTTGTCTGTAAGGGAACCGAGTATCCAAAAACAAACAAAAAGACAAGTAGCAGAGTTTTGCTGTCTCTTCAGCATAACTGCCTATTGTCTTTTCAAAGAAGTGTGCGAGCCAAGATCCAGTCTCTCCAATTTCAATTAGACTTATTGTAGTGTGTTTTCTTTATTATTGAGAAGAGATACAATGGCTTTTACCCGTTATTTTTTTTTTTTGAAAGTTGGAAAATTTGGCTTCAGTTGGAAAGAAGGGATTATGTACTTAGAGTATTTGGTTTGGGTTTTGTTTCATTGTACACTGCTTCTGAACATCTAACTGTTTTCGGTTGTCTAAATAAAAGGCCTCTCAAAACTCCTATCTTACTGTTGAGCATTGGGTTCATGGAATGGAAAAGCAACTGAGTTCATTACGTAATCCTTTCCAGCATCTTGGTTTTGTACTATGCAGAGGGAAAGCAATAGGAATGTGTTAGTGTTGGTACAGAAGGTGGCAAAGTCTTTGGTCTGTAAGCTTTGTGTCTTTTTATTCCTTGAAGTTTGAATGTAAACCTAAGTTTCAAAAATCAAAACCAGTGAAAACTCCTAAAGAACGTGCTGCCTGAAATATTTGGTTGTACATGAAAATCTCAGAGGTTGGTTATGAATCTGTATAAAGCTTGGGTTTAGTCCTCTAGACTGGATAAAAACGTTACTCTTTCAAGGTTACAAATCATATTTTCATCATTAAAGAAAATATTGCCATTCATCCCCTTGTCATTTCCTTTAATGTTACACTGAAAGGTTTACATAAGGTGTTCTGCATGGAAAGGAGAAAAGTTGTATTTATTCATACACCTTTTAATTTTTTTCATATTCATATTTGTACTTACTGTTCTTTTGGATTTTTTCCCAAGAGTACAGTAATGCTGTCATCTTAGAAAAGCAAAGTTTAACATTTGGAAACTGGAGTATACATTGAAACATGGGCAATTCTGTCTGAACTTAAGAAAATATTTTTCCCTTGTGAGGGGCAAACACAACTGAACAGGTTGCCTGGAAAGGTTGTGAAGTCTCCATTCTTGAAGATACTCAAAACCCAGCTGGATGTGGCCCTAGGGAACTTGCTGTAGCTGAGCATGCTTGAGGTGGTTGGACTCAGGTGATTGACAGAGGCTCCTTCCAGCTGTTTGGAGTGCGGGAAGTAAGGAAACCAAAGACAGGAAGCCGTGATTTGTGGAACCTCGTGCAATAGTCGCGTTGATATGTTATTTCACAGGCTCTATTCCAAAATGAGTTTTGCAGTTATCTCTTTGAATGTTACTCTTAAAAACAAGCAACTCACAACCCTCTGATTTACAACTACTTGTTCCTGCTTCATCAGTTCCATTAAGGCTTATGTTCCAAATCTAGAACTTTGGCCTAGAAGCTGCTCATTTTACCAGCTGAAGCATTTTAAACAAACACACACCTTGGCCTATGGTGAATGTTGAGGCTGTGGTCTTTGTGTTGTATTTCAAGTAGGGCTGTGTAGCAGTTCACAGAGATGTCTGGAATAGTGTCCTCTGTTTTCAGAGCTGTGACTCTGCTGCTTTACATGATGCTGTTGAGAGTGTGGCTATTCTGCTAAAATTGCAAGTTATTTCAGAGAGTACTAAGAACGTTTAATACTTTTTTTTCATGTGACTATGTCATTACAACTCTGGAAAAAAGTGAAGGCTATGAAATCGGTGGCTTTATTACTGCACTTTGATTTTGCAGGTGGTAATAGATTCATAAGGCTGGCAAGTTTATAGAGCTCACCGTGTACACGTTATACGAGTTTCTACTTGAAGATTCAACTCCCAGAAACTAGCAGCTGCCTCGACTCGTTGTCACACCGACAAGAAGTCCGGTTGTTGCTGACCGCTAAAGGAACAGGTGACCTTAGCAAGCCGGGTCCCAAGACGGCAGCGGTCTCTCACCCGCTGAGGCGGGGGTGA